AAATCCTCTGCTTAGCTTGCTGTATCGCTAAAAAGAGACAAATTACGATTCGACCAGGCTGAGGACCCTACGATGTATAACAGCTTACGAGCAGACTCCTAAAGTGTCTATTTTAGAAACAGGAATCTATGAAGTTCAAATTAGACGTTTGCGGAAAATGGCCAAATATTCAAAGCCATAACATGGAGAGGGGAGATGTGGGGACGGAGAAATGGGGGTTTCAGACTTAACAAGACATGTGGATGAACAAGTTAATAATTGGTATCTGGACAAATAAATTGGAGTATCACATCAGTTGAAAATTATAATCACTCACTGGATGCCGTCATGAATTCTTCGATGTTGGGATCATAAGATTCCATCTTCCATCTTCCGACAAACTGGGCCATATTTGAAGGATGTATGATTTTTATTGGCTTAGAAGAGCTGAAATATAAACGGTATTCGTGTTAAAGCACATTAATTGTCTGTGATTTATTCTCAACCCCTTTAGAATTTTGCAGTTTCACTGGTTCACCTTTTGTTAAGTTATTTCAACTTTTGCATTTGTCTCTTTTAAGGCAGAATGACGGAGATCTGTGTGAGTGTGTAAGTGTGTGCACCTGCGTGTGTCTGTGCATGTGCATCATGGAGAGGCAAGGGGGGAGGGGGGGGGGTTGAAGTTGTGCTTTGGAAGACAAGACTCCAAAATGATAGAAATATTGTAAACGGGGAGTGAAACATTTCCGATCTACAATCTTTAAAAGATGACTTGGTTTCTTTTCGCAGAATTAGTTCTGACCTTTTATGCATTTATATATTTATTAATCTTTTGCAAAGCAGATCTATCAAAGGACATACATTACGTCGGTCAAATACTCTAAACAGCATGGCAATAATGTCACAGATATTATACTGAAATTTATACATATGTATTTATTTTTTTATATCAGCCTCTTTGGTTAAAATCTTAATCAATTCAGAAAACAATTCAGATTCAGATGCCAAAAGAGGTCCACACAATTTTTTAATATATAGAATTCCTGTCTTATTTGGAAGCAGTGTTTATGTGCCAAGTGCTTTACTTTCCTTTCAAAGCAGAACACTTTTCGTAAAGAGAAAAATAAGGCAGCGATTCCGCAGATACTTCTTACCTTTCCTCCCAAAGCAGACCAAAAGAAACAAGTAAGCTCAGATATTTTGTACAGAACCTTTTAAGTGCTGCCGGATGCAAATACCGCTTTACGTTATGCTTATGAACGTTCTACTTTGAACTTTTATTCTTCACCTTCAGCACATGACAGATCGGTTTACAACACTGGTAACAACTTAATGGAATTAAAATGTAATTCTTTCAGGAAAATGATACCTGGTATGCATGTGTAATGGCAGCTATCATTCCCATCTAATACAATATAATACAGCATGTAAGAAAGATTCAGGAGGGGGGGGGGGGGCATATTCCAATGCATGCTTTTAGCTGCATAATCTGTAATGTATAATGTACAATATCAAAGTAGTATTTTTTTTTTACTACGCAGACATATAAGTTTCATTAGGCTGCACCCTCTGCTTCTTAATGAAATGGAACACAGGGTTGGATTTTGGAAATAATAAGTGGTTTCAACAAATAGGATTAAATACTGACACAATAGGAGGTGTTCCAGTACAAAGCTCTTAATTTCACAGTCCGTTGAAATTTAATTAAATGGATGTTAATTAAATGCGCCCCTTCGAATACAAGGCGTTCCTATGTATCACGTTGAACAGCGAACGGAAAGCCATCGAAATTACGCACAGACAACAACAGATAGCCGACACTACATCTTATCCCTTCCTGAAATAGCAAAATACTTTTACAACGATAGAACAAACAATTACATGTAGAACACGCATTTATGGTAGTGAGTATCTGGGTGGAGGGGCTCCACCGTTGTGTTGATGATTATGGGGGTCTTGGGTGAGATGACTTTCCGATGTAGTCCACTGAAGTTCTGTCGAGTTGAATCGTTGTGAACTTTCTGGCGCTTCACGAGGTCAGTAACCAAATTGATGCTCTATTTGCTCTCTCAAAATCCTGAGAATATTTGGACTCGGTATAAAGATATTCAAAGAATTGCGTTCGAAAAAGTTTGACATGAGTGAAACTTTACAATTTTTACGTTGAATTTCTCAAAACTAGATACAGAGTAGATATAACTTGGCAATTCTGAGGTAGCGACTAGCAAAATAAACTTTGCCTTAAAAAAAAAGCAACGACATTACACAAAATCTCCCCTGTGGGTGGTTGAGCTGCCCTATTCTTTCTTTACTCTCCGTCTTCCCAGTGCTTTTGTAAACAACTATCCTTATTTTTATCCAAGTTCCTATACCTGTTCGAGTATCAGGTTATGTTTAAGTTCGGATTTCATTGTCGTCCTGTCGTGCCTTTGTTCCCTTTCCTGCGGTTGTTTTGCTAACACTCTTTAGATAAATATAATCAACCCCTCTCTCTCTCTCTCTCTCTCTCTTTCTCTCCCTC